TAATTAGTTTTATGTTTATTAATTAATGAAAAAATTTTAGCATAAATGTAATAAAATTATATTTAAACATAAAATTATTTTTAAATAAATTCAACTTATTAAATGTATACGAATTATTTCTATAAGTATACATATGTTTACATGTTTTTTGAATTAATAATTTAGTTTTATTACTCAATGCGACAATGTATCAGTATTGCATATATAAAACGCCGTCTGTTTATTTGCATGTTATTGAATCATTTTTTCGTAGTACTTTCTTAGATAATATTTTATTAAATAGAAAAATATATAAAGCCATATTCTTAAATATTTCCTCTTGCATCAATACATTTTTCAAACATATAAGATGTGTTATTTGAATGAAATCTTTCAAGAATAAATAATTGCATTTTAAGTAAAAAGTGGTTAGCAATTATATTATGCAGACACTGTTATTTTCTACCGTATACATCTAAAAAAGCAATAAAGTAACAAAATATAAGGAAAGAAAAAAATAATGGGCTTTTACACGAATATACTTGAAGAGTCGATTAAAAGTTCTAAAGAATTTTTTTTTATATAAATTCCATTTAGTTATACTACATGTGATCTTTATCAGCTGTGTGACCTCACCTTCAGGCCTTTCACAATTTCAGCATACGTTACAACTTTTTCCATTGTAGCTTAATAGTCTCACATTTAAACTAATACAAGTACTTTTAAAGACGAGCGTAATAGTTTAATTAAAACTCTAAAGTTCTTATAAAATATATAAAATAGTATACTTTTGAAATTAGTTAAGTAGTCAAGTTGCAATAGATGAAAAATTAAAGAATTATATGACATTTTATTAACTGTAAAACCTATAAAACAATACAAAGAGGAAAATTTATTTTTAAAAAAATTGTCATAGAAAAATTTATTTATTTATATTGAGGAAAAACAAATATCAAATATTTAAATAAAACTAAAAAATTTAAATTTATTTTAGGTTAAAAAAAAGGTATAGCTTGACATTTTCATTTTAGAAGTGCTGATTTTTTTTCTAATTTACAAATATTTCATGATTAACGCTCATGTGAATAATGTTCATTCAATATTACAAACTCAACACACAAATAATACAAAGTAATTACATAAATCAATTTTTTGAAAAGTTTGGTATCGTTAATTTATACGTCCGTAATTTAAAAATTAAAAATAGAACATGTAAACATTTTATTCTCGTATACGCTGACCATTCTAATATGATCATAAATATCTTTTACCATTTACCCTTTTAGAATAGAACAGAAAAATATTGATTTTTCTAAAAATATTACGTTTGTTTTTTTTTAATTAAAAATACATTTTTTGTTTAGGTTTTAAAGGAAAATCTTAACATTCAGGTCTAATATTTTTTACACACACATATTTATTATAACTACCCGTTGTTTATTATTGATGTTATATAAATCCGGTTATTGTAATTGCATATGGAAATATCGTATATTGATTTTCAACATGAAAATAATAAGCAAGAAAATAATTATCATTTATCATTGTAAATTCTTTTCCAGTTATTATTGTTTTTAATGTTTAAATAGCATTATTGGTCGACAAAAAATTATTATTACATACGTAGACCATTCTATTAAAAAAACTTATAATACAAGGTACTTCAGAATAAAACAACTTGTTGAAACCATAAT